AATTCTTGGAGTCTTTTGTTTGTAAATTCAGTACCACCATCACTTTGAAAAGCCTTAATTGAGGTGTTGAGTTGATTTTCTGCAAAGGTTTTAAATCGAACAAAGATATCAAAAAATTCTGATTTTAAGCGCAACGGATATAGCCAAGTAAAGCTCGAGTGGTCATCCACAAATATGACATAGTATCGAAAACTAGAATTAGAACACACAGGTGTTGGTCCCCATAAGTCACAATGAACCAAATCTAATGGCTGTAAGACACGTTTTTCATTTATGTTAAATGGTAATCTTTTACTTTTGGCTAGTTCACAAGAATCACAAACAGAAGGATTTGGTAGAATGGAAGATACTGTCAAATGACTAGCCCTATTTAATTAACAAATAATATCATAGTTGACATGTCCTAAATGAGAATGCCATAAATCAAAGGATCCTCGTAATTTATTTGAATTCAAAACAAAAAGAAAAGTAGCTTGGCCATGCTCCAAAACATAGAGATTTTGTTCACGCCTCCCTCTTGCTAGAATTTCCCTTGTGCCCCTTTTCTGAAGCATAAAGGATTTGTCAGAAAAAATAGCATCAACAGGATAATCATGAGTAGGTTTGCTAACAGATATATGATTCTTTTATAGTCCAGGCACAACCAAAATATCTAGGAGACTTGAATTTGAGGCCAAACGGCAAGAACCAATATGGGATATGGGCAGAGTATTACCATTTCCAACATAAATGGTGTGATTACCCGAGTATGGCTCCATAGAGTCCAGCAGCGAGGAACTTGGTGTCATATGTGCTGAGACACCAGTGTCTAGATACCAATCTGATTTTTCAGAGGAGGAGACATTACATGCTATAGCAAAGGACTATGCAAGATTTGCAGAGTGAGGAGGAGCGCTTTCATAGCGTGCAATGTCCATGCCCCTCTCCTCGATAGATTTGGCAAATAATGGTTCGATTGTTTCGACCACGACCCCACGGCCTACAGAATTCTGTCCATGCCCTCGTCGACTATGAGAGGAAGCACGTGGAGCATTTAAATAGCGTGAATGAGAGTTTTGGTGGGGACGATGATTGGAAAGAAAAGCAGCCTGAGGAGGAGTATCTTCCACAGCAGATATATATAACTCAAATCCTTCCGCAGCAGCAACCAAATCTCTAAAAGTAGGCAGTGGGCGCATTGCTAGCTGCGATGCACCAAAGCTAGTAAAAGTGGGACCTAATCCTCAGAGAAACCAATGTAATTTATCAAGATCATCGACCGGTCTGCCCATGAGGCTAAGTTGATCACAAAGTGCTTGAAAAGATTTTGAAAATTCTCGAACAGAGGATGAACCTCTTTTGAGATGTAATAATTGGTCACGAATACTGATTTCTCTTTGTTTAAAGTCTCCACCATAAAGGGACTCAAGAGTAGACCAGATCTGTTGAGCAGTATCACAGTGGAGAACCTCAACCAAGGTTTCCTCCGTGAGAAAGGCTTGAAGAAGACTAACAAGTCGCTGATCTTGTTGTTTCCAGGAGATGAAGGCTGGATTATCAGTGGGGGGCGTATAGGCATCAATGGTTGGTAGCTGAGGGGAAGGAGCAGGAGTGCTTCCATCAATGTGATCATAAAGCGTCTGTCCTTGTAGGAGAGGAAGAAGTTGACGACGCCATAGGATGAAGTTTGTGGATGTGAGGCGAATGTTTAGCATATGGATCATAGTGTTGAAGGATAAAGCACCTTCAGATGATGGAGCAGGAGTGGCCATGAAGCAAGACAAGGAAGAGAAAGGATAAAAGAATTTCAGCACCGAAGATAGGCTGATACCATATAAGGATTGGTAAAACTGTGTTTGTGCAATTTTATTTCACTATGAACAGAGTACAATAAATAGAGATTACAATATGTCTAGATCCTACAATTAAGGAATAAACGACTCAATTAAACCAAGACTGAATCAATCGTATCATCTATATAAGGTAATATACAATCTAATATATTATTTCCTAACACACAAGCTACCCTGGAAAAATTAACAAATCAGGTGGCCGAATTACCTATACTAACTGTCCTAGATTTCTCCAAAACATTTACTATAGAAACTGATGCATCAAACACAAGGCTAGGGGCAGTTCTAATGCAGGAGGGGAGGCCTGTGGCTTTCCTCAGCCAGACTCTATCTAATAGGGCACAATCAAAGTTAGTATATGAGAGAGAATTAATGGCAATTGTGATGGCTGTACAAAAATGGAGGCACTACTTGTTAGGAAGACACTTCATAATTCTGATTGATCAGAAGAGCCTTAAATTTACCGAACGACTAATGAGTGAGGAATATTTCAGTTGGACTTCTAAACTCATGGATTTGGATTTTGAGATACGTTGTAGACTAGTAAATGAGAATGGGGTGCCTGATGCTCTCTCTAGAAAATTGACATTTTCAGCTTTGTCCTCAGTCCACTTTGAGCAAATAGAAGATTGGGCATCTAAAATTCATCAAGATCCAAAGCTCTAAGGGATAATTCATTATCTGATACAAGATTCTAATTCCCATCCGAGCTATAAATTTCAGAATCAGAAGCTATTTTATAAAGGTCGGTTAGTGCTTCCAAAAGGCTCTTCTCGAATTCCTTTGTTGTTACAGGAATTTCACAACTCTACTGAGTGGAGACATTCGAGTTTCTTTAGAACCTATAAAAGAATCTCTGAAGTTGTGTATTGGGAAGGCATGAGGAAAGACATCCACCATCACGTAGCTACGTGTGAGACATGCCAAATGAATAAATATCAAGCTCTATCACCAACAGGAGTTCTTCAACCACTGCCTATACCAACTCAAGTGTTGGCTGATATATCCATAGACTTCATTGAAGGGCTTCCTAAGGCTCAAGGAAAAAATGTCATCTTAGTAGAGGTTGATGGATTGACTAAATACACTTATTTCATTGCACTTAGCCATCCTTTTACTGTCAAAGAGGTTGCCAAAATTTTTAACATAGAGGTAGTTAAATTGCATGGGTTCCCCTCTTCTATTGTATCGGATCGTGACAAAATATTCCTAAGCCACTTCTGGTCATAATTATTCAAGTTGGCCGATACTAAACTCAAGTTTAGCTCTGCATACCATCCCCAGACAAATGGCCAAATCGAGATGGTCAATCGGTGCTTAGAGACTTATCTGAGGTGCCTCACCAAAACTAAACTTAAGTAGTGGCCTAAGTGGTTGAGTTGGGCTAAGTTATGGTTCAACACCAACTACAACAACTCTTTGAAATTTACTCCTTTCAAAGCATTGTATGGTTGCAACCCACCCCATCTTCTAAAAGGAGCCACTATTCCATCAATTGTGGAAGAGATGAACGTCATGACTTATGACAGGAACCAAATGTTACATGATCTCAAACGAAATTTGGTCAAAGCCTATAATCAAATGAAGAAGTATGTTGACCAATCTAGGCGCCCAATATCCTTAGCTATTGGCGATTGGGTGTATCTCAAGTTACAACCGTATAGGCTACGATCATTAACTCAGAAGAGGAATGAAAAGCTGAGTCAATGTTTTTATGGTACTTATCAGATTACCAAACATATTGAAGTTGTTGCTTTTTGGTTAGCCCTTCCACCAGAGAGTAAAATCGACCCCGTGTTCCATGTTTCTTTACTTAAGAAGGCCTTCTCTCCCTCAGCAAATCCTCAACCTCTACCACCTATGTTGTCGGAAGAGTTGGAATTGCAAGTAACACCAGCTGCTGTAAAAGCAGTGCGTAACATTACTCACGGGACTGCCAAAGTGCTTATTTAGTGGACTAACCTACCAGAGTTTGAAGCCACTTGGGAACCAGTGGAAACCATCATGCAGCAATTTCCTTCTTTTCACCTTGAGGACAAGGTGACTCTTTTGGAAGGGAGTATTGTTAGGTCATTTATAAGTAAACATTATAAGAAGAGATTCAAGACTTACGTTTTTTAATAGGATTGAATTATTTTAGCAAATGTTATTTTAATTAGTGGGGGCAAGCATAAGTACCTCTAAGCAGTTACGAGCAGAATAAAAATAGGAGAAAAGGTAGGAAGGAGGGTAGACAGTTTTTGAGTTGTTTCAGAAAGGGAGAGACTGGCTCTCAAACATCTTAGGAGGAAGCCTCTGTACTCAATACGTTTTACTGAATTTCCTATGTAACTTTTAATTTCGTATCAGTTCAATTGAATACGATTCAGTCTTTATTCTCTCATCAGTTGGTATCTATCACTAATATCATTTATTAAGAAATTACAAATTAAAAAATCAAGAAAATTATTAGCAAGTAAAAATATTTTTTAGAAGGTAAAATATACATGTTTTACTTACTATATCATTAAGATAATCTTAGTTTAACGAGTGTTTGAAAGATTATTTATGATATTTATTAGAGATTGTTTAAAATTGAGAGATTTTGGAGGAGAGGGAAAGAAAATATAAATTTTGTATTTTAAATAAATATATTTAAAATTAATAATTTTTTAAAATAAAATATATAAATTAATATATTGACATAAATTTAATATATTAATAATATATTTATCATTATAAATTATATTAATTTTTTAATTTAAAATTTAAAAAACATATCATCTTTTTCTTCCGTTCTCCTCCAACATTCTCTTCCTAAATATATCCTTAGAGAATATCTTTCATATATGCACTTAATTAAAAAGTTTGGTTAAACTTATAAGTATCTCGTAACTATATTATAATTTTTTAAAATTAATTTCAATAATCTTTATGTTAGAATTTATATGATATGCTAATATGATATTATCTTATTAAAGTGTGTTTGATCTATTAATTTATCTAAATGTTCGCCCAATCTAGATCTTATTTTTAAAATTTGGTAGGAAATGAGTTGGTTTCCTTACTCAAATGATTGATTCTGATTTAAAACAATTGTAACCAAGCAGAGATGAAAAGTCATTTCTTATTATAGTTCCATTAAAAATTTTATTTTAGTAAAGACTTGAGAAGTGAACAATTTTGCAGGCTAGCTCAAACTGGATCTACATCTATCCTCAAGGAATTCAAGATATTTTAGAATATACCAAGGAAAAGTTCAACAATCCAACCATTTACATAACAGAAAATGGTATGTTTATTTATAACACATCTCCCATATTATTTTTCCCTACGGTTGAGTATACGGTGTTACAGTCTCTAGAATTTCTATTTTCACAAATTTTGTTATTCAAATATTTGAAGGTTTTGATGAGGTTAATGATGGTACCAAGTCACTTGATGACAAATTGAGGATATACTATATTGGTCAACATCTTTTATATATTCAAAGGGCCATAAGGTGTGTTTCTCTTACCAAATGATAATAATATAGATGCTATATTTAGACGTCTTTTATGCACTCAACTTATGCTCGAAATTTGGTAGGAATGGTGTGAAGGTGAAGGGATACTTTGCATGGTCATTTTTGGACAATTTTGAGTGGACTTATGGGTACACTGCTCGCTTTGGAATAGTATATGTCGATTTTAAGAATGGACTTAAGAGATATCATAGAAGATCAGCTTTATGGTTCAAAACTTTTTTCCATCAGTGAACTGATCTATGTTATTTAATAGAATTCATGTAAAATAAATGAGTCAAGTACTCTACTCTTGATCTTTGTTATATATTTTAATTTTAATTTAAGTCATGTAAGCAAGGACACTTTGATGTTCTTTTTTTTTCAATATTGAGCAAGAATAATGTTTATTTTTCAACCATGCAACCTATTTATTTATATATAATAGTTTGAACCTAAATATTCAACAACTCTAGCAATACGATGTAATGTTGGAAATAATATAATTATATTTCAAAAAAATTTATTTATTTTATTTTATTATTTTAATTTTATTATTATTATTATTTATATCGTTAATTATATGTAACGTTTACGTGAGCAATAATAATGACTAAAGTATTTTAAATCTTTTGAGAAAACCGCACGAAATATGCACAGACTTTTTATTATATTTATTTTTTTGGGTTATGAGTTGAAGGATTTTTTACTACACCGAAATAATCCTTAAGGACAGTGTTCTACACACCTCAGACTATATTATTGATCAGTTACTTCGGATCATTTCGACAACAATCTTAAGGATTATAGCTGAATCAATAAATAATGAAAACCCCATCAACAACGCTGTAAATAACCATGAAAATGGTATCAATATGGATCCACCTAATCCAATTGTTCCTATAGTCAACTATGCAAAACCTTTCTCAGATGTGTCAAAGATAGAAATGTTCCAAGGGAAAAACTTTAAATGATGGCAGGAGCGTGTTTATTCTGTTCTTGACCTGCACGGTGTAGCTCATGCTCTCACGCAACCGAAATTAGATTCAAATGCTACGCCAAAATTGTTGGAAGACTGGACTTCTGCTAACAAGGTTTGTAGACATACTATTCTCAGTATATTGTCTAATGAATTGTTTGATGTCTATTGTTCCTATAAGGAAACTAACAAAATTTGGAGGTCTTTAACTCTCAAATATACTGTTGAGGATGCTGGAAGAGAGAAGTTCATCATCGGGCACTATTATAAGTGGGAGATGAACGATGAAGAAGATATCAAGACTCAGATCAATGAATACCATAAGCTATTGAAAGATATGAAAGCAGAGAAGATCACACTGTCTGAGAATTTTGTCGCTGGACTACTAATTGAAAAGTTACCAGAATCTTGGAAGGATTATAAGCAGCAACCAAAGCATAAGAATAAACTGCTGTCTCTAGCTGAACTTATCACCCACATTATCATTGAGGACACAAATAGGAAGAAATTCAAGGTTGCAAGGGCAAAGGCATTAGCATCAAGGGTAAACATGATACAAGCTAATAAGAAAAAGTATGACAACAAACCTAATCAAAGGTCTCATTATAGTAAACCTTATGTCCCAAAATTGAATAATCCCACTTTTAAAATTAGTGGAGGAAATTGTTTTGTTGTGGCAAAACAGGTCATCGTACTGCTCAATGTAGACACAAGAAGAGAAGTGACAATCCTCCAAAATTAAATGCAAATTTGGTTGAAAGAGATGATGTTATAGTTGTAGTCATTTCTCAAGCCTTGCTAATGGCTAATGTGAGTGATTGGGTGGTAGACTCTGAGGCTACCAAGCATATTTGTGCAAACAAAAATATGTTTACTTCTTACAGTTCAGTGGGAGATGTAGAAGAATAAGTGTATCTTGGTAACTCAAAGACTATTGAAGTTCTTGGAAAAGGAAAAGTTTTTCTGAAGCTCACATCTGGCAAGACCCTGACTCTCAACGAAGTGCTCCATGTGCCTAGTATTAGGGCGAACTTAATTTCTATTAGTTTACTGGGAAAAGTTTGAGTCAAGGTGTCTTTTGAATCTGATAAAATTGTGATGATAAAAAATAATGTGTTTGTGGGAAAAGGTTATTGTAAATAGGGACTCTTTGTACTCAATGTTGCTCATGTTATTAATGAAAATATTTCATTTTCTGCTTATTTGATTGACTCTATGGATATTTGGCATGCTAGATTAGGACATGTTAATGCTTCTTATATAAAAGAAATGCAATATCAAGGTTTGATTTCTGGTTTTAGTAATGGATGCTTAAACAAATGTGAAATATGTGAAATAAAAAATAACTAAAAAAGTCATGCTTACCTATAGAAAGAAACACCAAAATGCTAGAATTAATTCATTCTGATTTAGGAGATTTAAAGCAAATTATGACTAGAGGTGAGAAAAAAATATTATGTGACTTTTATTAATGATTTTTGTAGATATACCAGAGTATATTTGCTTAGAAATAAAGATGAGGCTTTTAACATGTTTCTTCTATATAGAGAAGAAGTAGAAAATCAATTAAATAAATAGATTAAAAGAGTTAGATCAGATAGAGGTGGTGAGTACACATTATTCAATGATTATTGTGAACAAGAAGGAATTATTCATGAAGTTACACCTCCTTACTCACCTCAATCTAATGGAATAGCTAAAAGGAAAAATAGAACATTAAAGAAAATGATGAATGCTCTTTTAATTAGTTCTAATGCACCTAATAACCTTTGGGGTGAAGCCTTGTTAACAGTATGTTTTTTACAAAATAGAATTCCATATAAAAGGACAGGTAAAACATTATATGAGTTATGGAAGGGACATAAGCCTAGTTTGAAATTTTTAAAAATTTGGGGTTGTTTAGCTAAAGTTATGCTACCTGATCCTAAAAAGAGGAAAATAGGTTCTAAGACGTCAAATTGTATATTTATTGGTTATGTTGATCATAGTGTTGCGTATAGATTTTTAGTTTTAAAAAGCGATGTGCTTGATCGTAAGACAATAATTGAAGCAAAAAATGCTGAATTTTTTGAACATATTTTTCCATTGAAATTAGAAAATTTTGGTGAAACACCAACACATAGTTGTTTGATGTTTTTCATGAGTATTTGACAAGAAGTAAAAGACAAAGAAAAGAAAAATCTTTTAGAAATGATTTTTACATGTATCTTATTGATGATGAACTTTTTTTTATTTCACAAGCCTTCTCCTCAACAAAAGCATTGTTTTGGAAAAAGATGTTTGTCGCAACCAATGGCACAACGGGGCAGCAATGACACGGAGTCGTCACCAAAGTGTATTAAAGAAAAATTTTTAATAGAAATAATCTTTGAAACCAGATTTGAGCTCAGGAGTCGTTTACGCGTAGGGAAGATATTAACATTCTATAACGTCCGTTGATTAAAACGGTGACCTTCTAATTAATTGTGCAATAATCATTTTAACTTTAAAAATATTTATTTCACTCTGAAAGAAAATCATTGATGTTTTTTATTATTACTTTCTGATTTTCCATTTTTTTTTTGTCTTGTTACTTATTCTTACAATTTTTTTTTAGGTTTTAATTTTATATATATATATATATATTAGGAAATACAATTACAATTTTTTTAATTAAAGGAGTGAATTATATATAAAAATACTATTTTTTATTTTCGTATTAAATAAATTTAAATAAAATATGACATGATTTTTTTATTTTTCTTAAACTAAGAATTATTTTTTTTTATTTTTCTATTTTTAAATAAAGAGCTAAAAATCTAATTCAAATTGGGAAAGTGAAATATTTACAAAATATTATTTTTTTTATCATCATATTAATAAAATTTGAATGAAATCCAACTTGATTTTTTTTTATTCTTAAGTAAAAATTCATTTCTTGTCTTTTTTCTTCTTTTTTTTACATTTTTGGCATTAATAAAAATAATCTTAAAACATTTTTTCTTGATTTTTTTTTAAATAAAAATAAAAATTTCATTCTTTTTAGAATTATTTTGAATTACTCAGTTTAAAATTTTTGTTAAAATAATTTAAACCTGAAAAAATAAAATCTTTTGGACTTGACAGGTTAAGTTCCCGCTCTTACATATCTTTCGTATGCAACGGAGGAATCAAAGCTACCAGATAGTTCTTTTTTTTTTTTGAAAAATGAGTTTTTGATAAGTTTTAAAAGAATTTCTTTTTCGTTTTTGGAAAACTTTATTTTTAGGTAAATTCACTCCTACACAAGGTTCAAGTTAGCACACGACTACTCAATAAATCCCTACGATCTAAGCAATGTTGAAGGTGGATCCACCACTTTATCAAAATTACTTGGTCGTTGCGTGGATTTAAAAGACCAATTTTTAGATAACCAAAATATCTTATTAATATTAATTTTTTTTTTAACAATAAGAAATAAACGAGAAATATATAGAACAATAAAAACAAACACAAGAGCAAGCAAAAATAACAAGAAAATAATTATTGTTTTTAGGGATCATTTTTTGGGATTTGCAAAGAAATTGAAATTTTTAAGATTTACAAAAAAAAAATGTTTTAAGGGTTTGGAAAATTTAGACTTTCGTAATTTGTGAAATTGTTAGAGTTAAAAAAATTACTTTTTGGGTTTTGTAAGAAAAGAATACTTGAGATTTTAAAAAATATTTTTAGGGTTTGCAAAAAAGATACTTTAAGGTTAAAAAAGAAATATTTTGGGGTGTGCAAAAAGACATTGTTGGGTAGAAAATATTTTAGGATTTACAAAAAAAGATATTTTAAGGTTAGAAAATGTTTTAGGGTTTGCAAAAAGGATATTTTAAGAGAAAAATATTTTAGGGTTTGCAAAAGGCAAAGAAAACAACTTTTTTTTTAGATTTTTTTAGGGTTCGGGGAGATTGGGGTTTGCAAAAAAGGAGACAATTTTTATTTTAAAAAAAGGGTTGATACATTTAGTGTGAACAAACGAAACAAGGGAAAGGTAGAAATGAAAGCAAAGTACGCATACTAAAACAAAGAGATTTTTTGCTTAGAAATAAAATATGAGACTTTTAATATGAACAGAAAGAAGAAATGAGACCAAAACAATAGATAAAAATATATTTTTTTTAGAAACAAAACTCGAGACATTTAATATAAACAAAAAATGCACAAGCAAGAATGAAAGCAAAATAATAGATGAAGAACTAAACAACAAAATGAAATCTTACTTGATCTGGAGAATAAGAATTTCGTTGACTTTATCCTTCAACTCTTTTGG